ATAGTTTTATTTTATTAATTTTTGGACGAATTTGCCCCCAGCTTAATTACATTTTTCACTCTGTGCGCACTGTCCGTTTGCGTTTCCTCTGTGGCGATTAATTAATTTTTCGGTGAAACGTAATTCCTGTTTACTTTTCGTAATGAAAAAGACTCTGTAGTTTAAAAGCCTTTTATAAATTCCAATAATGGAAATTAAAACTGCTCGTCTCGATCGGTGTCAATAGTGATGCTGTTCAGTTGTTGGTCTTTGTTTAGTAACGAGTGTATTTTCAACTCAAGAAGACAGACTGTGCCAAAACCTAATAACTTTCTTTTAAAATTATGCAGTAATATTTCAACGGCGTTCGAGTGTTGATGATGCTATTAAAATGTAAATAAAATTTCCTTTTATGTTACAAATTGGTGACAAACAGCGATATAAGGAGAATGTCATTATTTTTGGCGTAAGCAAAGTCCACTTCTTAGATGTTCAAGGCGATTATGTCATTTTATTATGATCATGACGACTTTAATTTTAACATGAGGCGCAATCGACGGTGAGAAAATTCATATGACTTAAACTGTGCAAGTTGTGTATTCCCCTTTAATGGACTGCTCAAAAACGGTCTGCTTGGATTTTAATACAGCCGCTTTCCTTTTCTGAATTTTACATTTTTCAGAATAATGGATGGAAGTTCGTTGGGTTTAATGGATGATTTAGATCATATCACGCTTGGGAACAATGAAGCAACAGATTTTTCCATGCGAGCTTTGGTTCTGACTGAGATCAACAAAGCGGATCGGAGAGGTGTGTCAGTTTCAGACGGGATTAAAAGAAGCATTTCTAATTCCGTGGAAAGAAACCTGAACACAGCACCCATGGATTTATTTGAGGTAAAAAAGGGGGTTTAGGGCCATTTATAGCAAAAGACAAGATTTTAAGAGTTTTTTTTTACAAATATTTGCTGTATACCAGTCATAGACGGTCTCTCTTCTTTTCATAAACCAATAAAAAAGCAATTTCTGAAGGCTTTTCGAAGCACGTGCAATTTAAATGTCGTTAACAACACTGTTCAGAGGCCGCCCACCAGGTATGTACCGATAAAATCGAAAAGCAAGGTCGACATGTTCAGCTAAAGAAAAAATATTTTACTAAGGGTGAAAGTTTTATTCAGATATTCCTTTCTAAGTCATTAAAACTATTCTGTAACATTAGGTTGTCCTTTGATTTTCTGGAGGGTGCCCGGCGAGAGGTGGTCCTGTTTGCCATTTGAATAAATGGTCTTCTTTGGTTGCAAAAGTGATTAATTTTAAAAAGCTTTAGTATTGTTATGTTAAAAGATACCCTTCCATATCAAATTCAACTGCGCAAGGAAATCACTTTTTTTGATTGTGATTGCTTCTTTCAATGTAGAATTTGTGGATTAATTAAGAACTTCTTTTTCGTCACCTACACGAGAAACGTTGTTTCATTTTACGGTGCTACAGAAACTCCAACTGACTGCCTACTGCTAAGTGCATAACAAATCATGGTGATTTCATTTATGCAGTTTAAAAAATGTTGTCTTGGAAAGATGATCTGAATACCACTTAAAGCGTACTGTATATCGTATCATACAAATGATAACTGTAGACTTGTTATCGTAACCTGAGGAGTATAGTGATAACAGTCCTTAAATGGCTTGCAAGTAACTGTGTGAAATAACTTTTGAAAGTGAAATATTACCAATAATTACTGGAAAGACTAGCAGCGTAAACAACATTCAATTGCCTTGGGACAGAATGTTTCTAAAAGGTGAAGATGTCAGTTTAAAAAAAAAACTGTATATCTGTGTTCTGAGGAAAGATCCCGTCTTATTTTAGCTGATATTCACGGAAGGAAGTTTCGCTTACTTACATGTATATAGGTGATAATATCGTTCTTATTCAGTAGCATTAAGTGTGAATATATTAGCATATGATCATCGATAGACAAAGGTATAGATATATAATTATGTTTACCCAACTCACCATGATTTTTATGGGTTTAAACGGTCACCTTGGAAATTTACTACTAAAGCGTCAAGTTAGCCATTAAGTTTGTGGGCAGAAAGGAAAACTGGAGAATCGTAACTGTTTGGCACTGGTTAATTATGGAATATTCAGAGATGTCACGAAACAATTTTACAATCAAGGAGTTATCGACCTGAAGGGCTTAACGAAGATTATCAGTGCAACTTTATACAAAGCAATATTCACCAAATTCATGCGAAGGTTGCAGCAGGTCTTTTAATTACCGGTCGTACTTGCTGTCTTGCATTAGAAACCCTCACAGCATGTTGTGTTACACGATACTAACTTTCACGTGAAAATGGTCCTATCAAAATTGTTGCTTGAAATTTTAAAACCTGTTAAATTAAATACGTACCCAGTGCGCCAAAATTAAATCGTCATTGATGAACTACCGCACCTATTATCAAAACAAATTTGCTCCCAGCTGTTCAACAGCGGAAATTGAATCATATTGTAATTTCGACTGAGCTGCATTGTAAGTGTTGTTTTTTACGATATCGCAACCACTGGGAACTGTTTCCTTCTCTCGATTTTCTTTTCTATAGAATGGTATTTGAAGGCTTTACAATTCCCATAAACGGATCCAGCTCTTTTTTGAAATAATTAACCGTTATTGGACGAGGCTGAGCAAAATATCTTGATTTTGCGATAACCGAGTTAAATAACTGTTTTATCACTCGATCACCAGGTTTGTTTTCATATTTAAATCACTGTCTCGCAACTCAGGGAAGCGACTTCAACGTCATGTAACTGATTTAGAGGATAATTTCTCTTTTTCCTCAATGAGAGATTTCTATTCTCACAGATATCCCCACATCTCTTTCCTCTTCTATGATTAATTATTATTACCTAAGTCTCTGTAGATGATGCGCGCCTGAGGGTTCACTCAGTCTTCACCCTTAGGTATATGTCCATTATCTGGAAGAATAATCTTACAATACCTTGAAAGTCTGCAGCCATTTATAACTACGAAAACGACATCTGATTAATAAAAAAGCAAACAGACCTGTTTGTGAAACATCCCAATTCCTACTTGTTTTATTTAAGATAACGGCTTAATTCCTTTTTAATTCTCTTTGATTAAAGTGCCACTAACCCCCAAAATTTTTTTTCATTTAATAAAATTTACTAGTTTCACTGATTACTTCAGCGAAAAAATTATCTCGATTGATAAAATCCCTGCGTCTCTACAGGCGTTTAAACATGTAGTCTCTATGTTCACGACCGCGCAAAGTGGGATCTGGGCCGGGCTACTAGTGACGTCACTTCGGGAACCGGACTAAAACACTCAAGAGACTTTTGACTGAGCTTCGAGGGCAGTCAAAACATTTTCGGGTTATTTTTAATTCATATTTTATCAAAACTGGACAAGAACTTAAAGTGAAAGAACTGTGTCATCTAGCATTACAATTCGGAGTCTAGCTACGATTTGGACGGCTGCGAAGTACATTTTCCATTTCGAAGTGCGGGTAGCTAAACTCCAGAATATCCGGCCACTTATTAGCATCTCATTGAACAAGAATAGCAACTATTGTTGTATACCTCGTTCTTGAAAGCACACCGGAACATGTAAATAAAGTGGCCGGGTATTCTGAAATTCCAGAATACCCGGCCACTTATTAGCATCTCATTGAATAAGAATAGCAACTATTGTTGTATACCTCGTTCTTGAAAGCACACCGACACATGTAAATAAAGTGGCCAGGTATTCTGAAGTTGCTCCCTCCCCGGCTTTAGCATCGCACAGAGCAGCCCACTTCTTTGGTCTTTTTCTCGTTTCTGGTAGAGTTTCATCGAGATAGAGGTGTTGAATGAAGAGGAATACTCTATTCTACGCATCCTGTATTGCTACAGCCTCCAACAACATATCTTCCTCGCATTCTGCAACGATTTTGACACACACTATCGCATGTTCGCATACATTCTTCTCAGAAACAAAATATTGTTACTCCCGAAGTGACGTCAAAAGCCAACTCGTTCCATTCTCCCCTATTCCTCGGTCGTGAACATGGAAAAGGGTAAATTTACAAACTTAAAAAATTCATAGAAAATTAACGAAAATAGCTACAACGATAATTTTTTCGCAGTGGTGATCAGGGGAAAAAGGAAATTTATATTAGCGAAAAAAATTTTTTGGGGTTAGTGGCACTTTAAGAGTTGTTCTCAATACAAGGAACTTCCCCGTTCTGTCCATCTTGAGTGCACCCTCTCTTGTTGCACTAAATAATACATAACAAAAACGTTTCAGTTACAGTAATACACCAAACGTCATATCATTTGCATTTACAAAAATTAACATAAATCTGCTACACTGAAGATTTACATGGAAACAAAATTTTGATCAAATGGTTGGAGGTATCCAGTGGAGATTTATTGTGTTGTCTCTAACGGCGGTTTCAATAAGGCTGCGAGCTCAACTGCCATGGTGATAACTGATTTCTGAAAACATCAAAAATCAGCCTCCAAAAGTTACTCTTAATTCATTATTCCGGCTTCTAAGTAATTTTCATTTTTATCAATTGATTAAGAGTAGACTGAAGTTTTTCTTTTTATTGTTTTAGACGCTTTAATCTCTCTCTTTCTGTTGACCCAGGCCTGCCGTGAGGGAGATCTTGTTGTACTGAGCTCACTTCTGGAGAGCAACGTAAACGTTTTCAATGAAACTAACGATTGCGGTTTATCACCATTACACTATGCTGCACGTTATGACCAGGGACAAGTTATTCAGCTTCTTATCGATCATGGAGCATGTAAGAACATTAAAGGAGCTATGTCACCCAATTTAGGCACTTACCAAATGGTCATCAAATTAACCAAAATATCACAACAATGGCTTAAAGAAACACAGGAATGCCAAATATGGGCATGGATGGACAAAAATAGAGATTTAAACAGATTTCATTACATTGAAAAACACTGGTCGCCCTTTTTTTAAGTTTATACTGATCAATTTGTATAAGATAAAGCTGGGAAATGATGTTTCTTTGACTTGGGGCCGAGAATTATCATTAGGTGCATTTTTTCATATATGCTAATCTGAAGTCTAGCACTCATAGCTGACAAAAGTAAACAGAAAATACCTAAAATACTGTGACTTAGCCCTAACTCTAACCCTTATTATCATATATAGGAGGCACCATCCTATTGTCACTTGGTGCAGAGGGGTCAAATTTTAATCTGACTTGTGTGTTTCCATGAATTGTCATGTAGTCTTGGTCACTTTAGTCCCGTGTCACCATAGAGGTGTCCATGTAAGACTGTTGAAACTTTTTCCTCGTCGGACAAAGATTATGTCACCTGCTGCTATCACGGCGCACACTTGCGGCGAGCCAAAAGTAGACGACGCATAAACATAGAAGTCTACGTCACGAAAATCCCGTAATACTGGTTTTAATTGTAGACCAGGGGTGCTTACCATTTCGGAAAACAGCAAACCAACTGAAAGCTTACCATTTGCAATTCAATTTCCCGTTATTGTTTGCGGCTGCTGAGAGACTGGAAAATGAAAAATGTAGCAAATGGTAAGGAAATTTCCGCCGTTCCGTTCCGAACGGAGAAAGAGGACCACAGCTGGAGGTAGTTCACAATTTCAAAACGGATTTCTCGGAAAATTATTGTTCCATTTGAACTTCAACCGAAATTTCCGGATTTCTTGGCTAAATGGTAAGCACCCCAGTACTCACTAGAGAAATGAATCTAGTTGACCATGAAGCTAGCTATTTATTTTGTGGTTGCTATTCCAATAGACCCCAACAAAAGTGCCACAATGGAAAACAAAGTGCTGTCTCCATTACATTACGCGTGCTGGTTTAACGCACCAGAAGCAGTCAGTACTTTACTTGATAACAATGCAAACGTTGAGAGCTGCGCTGTGTTTGGGCAGAAGCCGCTTCATTATGCTGTTACTCGTGCTAGTGTAGAACTCGTGAAGGTGAGGATAACTGCTTTTCTCCGGACCTTCTGTTGTACCATGTTACGTTGCCCCAGTGGGCATTTGAATGAAAGAACGAACGAATAAGGGAATGAAGGAAGGAAGAAAAGAAGGAAAGATGGAAGGAATAAGGGAAGGAAGGAAGGAAGGAAGGAAGGAAGGAGAGAAGGAAGCATGGAAGGAAGGAGAGAAGGAAGGAAGGAAAGAAGGAAAGAAGGAAAGAAGGGAAGAAGGAAAGAAGGAAAGAAGGAAAGAAGGAAAGAAGGAAAGAAGGAAAGAAGGAAAGAAGGAAAGAAGGAAAGAAGGAAAGAAGGAATGAAGGAATGAAGGAAGGAGGGAAGAGGGAAGGGAGGGAGGGAGGGAAGGAAGGAAAAAGTGATCGTGTGTGTGTTAACTTTATTACCCACAGAATTCAAAGTAATAATAGTGACTGATATAAAATAGCAGTCAGTTAGTTAATCAATCATCGTTTTTCACCTCTCAGACATTGCTCACTAAAGGAAAGGCAAATCCAAATGGACAAGACAATCAAAAATTTTCTCCGCTTCACCTAGCAACGCAAAGAGGAAGACTGGATATCATCAAATTGCTTGTAAGTTTGCCTAGGTCACTTACGATTTTTGTCTTGGTCGTTTTGTTTGCTGGTTTGTTTGTCCGCTTGGCGTTTGTGCGAATTATATTTTTAAATATTTTTTCCTGGACGACTCATAACAGCTTTTTTGGCTTGCAAATGTTCTAAAAGCCTTTGTTTGATACGTTTTTGCAATGTGTAGTTTGCACATGGTGCCGACCTTCGTGCACAAAACGACGAACATGAAACAGTTCTCCACGTAGCCGCAAGAGAAGGGTGGGACGAGGTTTTGAGGTATCTTCTTCAAAGAGGTACTGTTTATGACTAAAATTGTTTAATCTGCTGCTGCTCCCCTTTCCCTCCTTCTCAGTTCCTCAGTTCTTATTATTGTTGTTGTTATTCTTCTTCTTCTTCTTCTTCTTTTTTCTTCTTCTTCTTCTTCGTCTTCGTTTTCTTCTTCTTTTTCTTCTTCTTCTTCTTCTTCGTTTTCTTCTTCTTCTTCTTCGTCTTCGTTTTCTTCTTCTTTTTCGTCTTCGTTTTCTTCTTCTTCTTCTTCTTTTTTCTTCTTCTTCCTCGTCTTCTTCTTCTTCTTCTTCTTCTTCCTTTACATTTCCCAAAAATTTATCATGGCGTGTTTCGCTGCCTTTGTGCGAAACAAACTTCACCAGTTTTGTAAAGATTGTTTCCTTTTCACCTAAGCGCTCGATTTACGCTTTTTTGAGTTTTTCTTTAGTCTTTGCCTCGTTTTTTCGCNATCCAACAACGTTGCTGTTTTTCAATTTTATATTGACTGGGAAATTGCAGTTCAACTTCTAAATGCTTTTACGCCATGGAGCGACAATGAAATGATATAATATCTCAGACTTAACAGATTTAACGAAAAGTAGCAAAAGGAACGAGGACATTTGGGAAACGATCGTCTTCGTTTTCTTCTTCTTCTTCTTCTTCGTCTTCGTTTTCTTCTTCTTCTTCTTCTTCTTCTTCTGCTTCTGCTTCTGCTTCTGCTTCTGCTTCTGCTTCTGCTTCTGCTTCTGCTTCTGCTTCTGCTTCTTCCGCTTCTTCTACTTTTTCCTCTTATTCTTTTCCCTGAAATTCTTCTTCCTCCTCTTCTTCTCCTTCTTCTTCTTCTTCTTCTTCTTCTTCTTCTTCTTCTTTTCTTCTTCTTCTTTTTCTGCTTGCGTTTGTGCTTCTTCTTCTCCTCCCCGTCCTCCCCTTTCTTCTTCTTCTTGGTTCCTAAAGGGCAAGCCAATGATGCTGATTTGCAAATATTTTGCAGCTCAGCAAATAATAAAGCTTCTTGGAACAGTGCTTAACTTGAAAAACAATTTATTGTTTACTGGTGAGACGATCCTGTTTGTCTTTCAGCATCAATGACCGGTATATCGTGCAAGGATCTTGTCAATAGTGAAAATCATGAGTCAAAGAGCTGTCTTCATTTGGCTGTAGATGGTGGACATGTTGAGGTTGGCGTTGATACATTGCTTCATTGCTCATGAAATTAACATTTTAATCAGTGGTCATTGAAATCACTAACTCAGTTTGACCATTGTAAAGACAATATACCTACGGCTTCTGAAAATTCCATCAGTTTGGAAGCAATCCCATTCAAAACAGTTATAAATATATACCGACGTAGCCTTTCTTTTAGACAATGAGAAGAAGTCTCTTTTCATTCCTTTTTTTTCCTATGGTGCCAGCAAAAAACCGACTCACCTCCTCCCCATTTTCCTGCAAAAAAAACAACAACAACAAAAAACAAAAACAAAAAATGCTTCAATATTTCGAAACCAAGCTGAGCAGCCTTAATTACACCGGAAGAATCATTGGGAGAAAGGCAAATGACTGACAGGAATGGAGGAACTTTGCTGGTGTCCTTAGCGCTGACGAGTGTACTGGGAAGGAAATAAATCAAGTAAAAATATTTCATACAATGTATATTTAGGAAAAAGTAAAATCAAAATCGCAAAATAAACAAACATATTCTTTTTTATTGACAGGCAGCTAAGATTTGCATTGAATATGGCGCCGACGTTCGTCCTGTGGTAGGCAGACACGTTTTTTATGTTTAACTAACATTTGGTTTCTTAACTAGCATTTAACTATCATAGACGTTCTAGTATAAGCATAGGTATCTTAAAGAAAGCAAGTAAATGTTATTTTTTTTGATGCTTAAAAAATTAAATTAGGGGTATACACGCATACACGTTGTGTCTTGTTTTGAGCCATAGCCAAGATTCTATCTGCGATGCTGCGTTGTCTTGTGTTAAGTTGGTGGGTCTTGTTTATGTTTTTGTCGGTACGGTTGTTCTTGTTATTGTTTCTACAATGCTCCTGCCTCTCCAGTATGCTGGAGAAATTTAGAAAAATCCTTGGGGTATCTTTCAGGTACTGTATAATCCAGCGAAACCCAGTGGTAACTACCAAAGTCCTTCCAGAACCAGGTTACTCTAGTCGGCGCTTAGCTCTGTTTGTTAGTTTATTTGTTTATTGTTTGTTTTTAGGGTTTTTTTGTGCATGAATAGCCTAGCTTAGGAATTCTTTCAACCCTTTTCCTTAAATTGACTTTGGTCCTTAAAAAAGCTTATCCTCTAAGTGAAGATAGACACTGTGAATACTACAACCACTCTCCTGAGTCTCGAATACCACCTTTCTCTATCGATGAAAATGTGATTGGTTTCTTCGACTTCAAAGGTTAATGTTATCTTCCTTAGACAAAGAGAAACATCCCGCTACACGTAGCAAGTTCCATCGGAGACTTAACGATGGTGAAATTTCTTCTGTCGCAAAGTGTTATTCACGTAGACGAGGAAGACTCCGAAGGAATGACACCAATACTCAGGTACACTTGAAGCACTGACCGTTGTATCTAGCAAAATACCTAGGGGCCGCCATCATTTCGCACTACACTAAAGAATCGAGATCTCTGGGAGAAAACAAAAGTTGAACCAGCGCTTTTAACAGCGGTCACTCTTTCTACGCATGCTTAGAAACTGTTACTTTAGAACGCAAACACATGCCCACAATCAAACCGGAACCAGAATTTTCTGAATTCGTTCAAGGCGTTGGGCGATCGGTCGCCGCTGATCCACAACGCGCGGGGCCTCGGGACGAGATTGTGTATTTAGTAGAAAACACGTTCCCCTTAGTTAATTAACGCACGCGCTGTCCTGGTGAGTGCTGATTAAAAAAATGATGAGTAATGATATTGCTTTAATGGTTGGCACTTACCTCGCCTTGGTCTTGAACTGCACATTGACTGACAAACAAACTAAAACCTGATAACCGTCTTCATCTCGAAAAAATTATCATTGTTTACAGTATATATCATGTTGCTTATCGTGTCTTATCTGTTCATAGCAGGTAGTTAATCCACACGCTTTTGTCCTCTGCTTTGTATATCCCTGATAATATTCTTCTCAGTTTGTCTCAATTAGTACGAACTAGAAAATTATCTTTTTTTTTTTCACCCAAAAATTTAAGTTGATGCCGAATCTGCCTACAGGTATTATTGAGTTTTGCTTTGGTGAAAACGTTTTGAAAATATCAAATTGGAACTGAAAAGATTCGCTAATGATTCAGCTAAATCAGGGTTTTAATGAGAAACTCAGTTGATAGTTTGTTGAAAAGACTTTGTATCGTCATGATAAATTATTCAGCCTCTTTATTCAAGATGCATTCATTCTTCACAGCTTTAACATCTTAATAATTAATTTTGGTTCTTCGAGTCCATTCTAACATTTCACTCATACTGTTGTCATTTCCAACTGCTAAAGAAACTGTAAACATCGATAAAGATCGTGGTCTGTGGAAAAATTCTTTTCAGTTTTATTCAAAATACTTTAATACAATGGCATTTTATCAGAACCGTGGACAGGATAACACGTTTGGTTGCAGGAGGAAAACCATATTCAAGCTCGTTGTTTTTCTTTGCGTTCTTGGAGGGTGGTGCTTCGTGACACAGAACTACACAAACTGCAAAAGCTTTACTACAACTTACGAATCAAGCCCAGAAGACTGGTTTGATGGAAATATAACAAAGTTTCAAAACAAAGCTAACATCTACAACTATGTTGTCCTTCGTAAAACCACAATTGAAGCATATGGTGATTTCTCCTGTTCCAGCTCATTGAAGCCCAGAATGTGTATGTATAAAGTCGATACACTCGTGCAGGCGGTGCAGATATGTAATGTCTACGCCGATATCTGTGTGGCATTTGTGTTGTCAAGAGACATGAATATTAGGTTGAAGCATCAGGTCAGACGAGTGAATTACGATAGCCAAGCGGTCACGTTTGTGAAGAACGCGTTTGCACCGCGCATCAGGGACTTTCCATCAACTAAATTATCCAGAACCGCGAACACATCAAGGCCTTTGAACTGAGTCTGCATTCTCTTGAGCGTTGATAATAACCTGTTCTCGTCTTTGGAATGTTATTAAGAACTAGCTACACCGTTATGCTCTTACAGACGGAGTAATAATACCCCTTGTTATACAGACAGTCGTTTCTTGTTCAGCTACAGAAATAGGAAAGAGCATAGAAGACTCTCGCCTCTGCAATATTACCATTTTGTAATGAGAAATGAAAAAACTGATTGCGAAAACTCACAATGTTGTTAAAATTAGTAAACCGTTCTATTGAGTAGTTATTTTGATATCACCCTATCCGACTCTAAAGTATGTGCGTGTCCACTAACTTTCTCACTTTCATGATTGCTTCTACCGGCATTATTATTACGTGCCAATATAACCGGCTTTAAAAATACCTCGTTTGATTGTTAAATGTTCTTGTGTTTTAGGAGCCATACATTCAAGTTTTAATATAAATTATAAAGGACCGATGAAAATCATTCTGTTCGTCGGTGGATATGGTTTGAACATTGTTTATTCAATCTAAAAAGTGTTGATTGGCAGAATAATATATTACAAATAATGGCCATCGACCAGTTCATGTAAAAGATCATTTGAGAGGACTCTTGAAATACTATTTCTCTTTAATTGTTTCTTAGCTTTTGTTGTTGTTTTTTCATGTATACACTAAAAGCCGAAGATACAGTAAATGTTCTTCGATCTGCATTGCGAAGTACTAATTAGTTCGGCAACCAATCGTGTCAAAGAAAAACAAACCGCTCCAAAAATATACACCACCCTGAATTTATACGCACATGGAAGTGTTTTAGAGAATTGCAAGCGAGCTCCCAAGTGTTCCTGCGTTTTTCAAGTGTTGATACAACTCAACAGCGCGAGATGCTTAAGAAAACTTGTTCATAATTGAATTCTCTTTTCGTTTGCTGCCGTTGCACAATAGTCTTCAACGAGGGTTTTTTATATGGGGGTAGGCAGGGGGTATAAAGATTCCATTTCCCAGCTCAAATTTTGCTCAAGTCACATTTCCTGGGCATATGTTTTCTCTTAATTTGAGTCTCATTCCTTCTTCCGAATCCAATTTTCCCAATGATAAAAAATAAATTAAATTTTAAAAATAGGCACATACCAGCTTCCTGCACTGGGCTCAACAAGTACACTCTGTCGAAGCTTTTTTATGAACTTCTTGATTTACTTGCAGGGCTTGTCTTTCTGGTCATGTGGAAATCATTGAACACCTTATCACTAAGGTAAAGGCGTTTAAGATCAATGCATGCATTTGAGCACTTAAAATCATTTTAAAAGAATTCCATAAAAATTCAAATCACTAGGTTGACTGTTTGTTGTTGGTGATTTCGTCTCCCTGTAAACGCGTCTTCAAAACTGGCGAACACCTACTGAAGCTATTACTAATATGTTGCAGAACATCGTCACGAAGAGCTTTTATGCAGATATCTCCTATTCCACGTTTGCAAGCGGCTGGCTATTTAAGCTCAATAATAGACTATTCAAATCGCATTGAGAGTCACAGTGAAGTGATGAATGTCTTAATTAGACCCTAGACCTGCGTAATAGTCGTTTTCTTTCCAGGCGCGAGAGGGAAAGCTACAGATGAAGCGGATGACTAGCGCGTTTTGACCGCGCTTCGGTCATAGTCAAGTTTAATGTTAGAACAGAAAATTAGTATATAAGAATAAAGTCATCAAAGATTCCTGTGCGAATGCCAGCAGTAGTTTGGCTCCATATGATCCTTTTATCTTCATTGTATCAGTGACACTGCCATTATCGAATTTCATTTTCATGTAATTTGGTTTTGTTTAGGGTGCAGCAATATGCTCGTTACCAGGCTCCTCCGCGCCATCTCCTCTCATGTGCGCAGCAAAAAGGGGGCATAATAGAGCCATCCTGTTTCTTCTCCAACGCGGATCGCCAATTGACCTGAGAGACTCCCATCAAAGAACGTGCCTTCACGTAGCAGCGCACAGCGCTGATGTAGAAACTGTTGATATAATTCTCGAGGTATATGTATCGAACTCAAAAATAATTTAACAACTTTAAAACAAAGGAATTCATGGCCGTGGTGGTGTTTGGATATCTGATCGTAGCTTGCATAGATATTTACGATTTTATTTTATTTATTATTTTATTTCTCCGTTTTCTCCTTAATTTTTGTTTCGATTGAGGAGATATATCAAACACTCAAGGCAGTGTTTGACCACATTTCCAAACACCCCGAAGCTCGTCAAAAATACTCCTCTCAGCGTCGTATTTTCAACTCTCTTCTCGGTGTTTGGAAATGTAGTCAAACACGGTCTTTTGTATTTGATGTAATATATCAAACACGAGAGACAGTGTTTCATCAGGGTATCCAAACACCGGGAACAGAGTTAAAAATACGACGCGCAGCGGAGTATTCTTGACAAACTTCGAGGTATTTGGATAGCTGATGAAACACTGTCTCGGGTGTTTGATATATCTTCTCAATCGAAACAAAAACTAAGGAGTAAACGGAGAGGTAAAATCGTCAGAATCTTTGCTAATTAAAACCGGGTATCCAAACCTCCTTCACGGTTGTAATTTTCTTTGTTTACACTTGATGAATTATTAATGAGTTTGAGAAAATAATACGTGTCAAACTAACAAAGTATGGAAACTACATAATGTTTCATTACACCTTTACGGAGCTGGCCGTTTATTTGAAGTGTCAAATCGCCCTAAATAACTTACACATTTGCTTCTTCTTATCTACAAATGAAAAGCTGGACTAAAAGAGAGCAATACTTTCATATTAACACAACCATGTAGATTCCTAGTAAATAACATAATTTTGCACTAAAACACAAAAACAGCTGAAAGATAATTCTCTACGATCCTCTAAACTGCAAAGGTGCTGCGGTTTCGTCTTAGCATGTAATCTGCGTTTTAAAAGTTAAAGCAGATTTAAAAAAAGAACACATATGTCTATTTCCAGAACGGAGGCAGGGATTTGATTGACAGCTTGGACAAAGACAACAGGACACCCATTCATTACGCCGCTTCTAAAGGAAGTTATGAGGTATGAGAAGAAAAGTTATTTCTTTACAATTTTGTACTTGTGATACATTATACAATTATGATATACAATTTCGTTGTCACACAAGCTTTCGCTCTTGCTTTAGCAATGCTAACTCTCTTGCTTTTCAGATTGTTCAAAAGTTACTTGATGCAGGAGCAAATATAAATGTTAAAGATGCAGAAGAGAATTTTCCAATACACATGGCTACAGAGTGCGTCCATCACTGAGTAAACAATTGATGTTTCTTCTGTTGTTGCCGTTGTTGTTGTTTTTGTTGTCTTCGTTGTTGTTGTTATTTTTGCTGTTATTTGATGTTCATTTTGTTGTTATTTGACGTTCATGATCACTTCTTTTTCGGTGTACTCTTCTTATGTATTCAATACGTAATTTGGCATAAGTTTGTCTGATACAAGCCAAACTAAGCCAGTGTGGATGGACAGTGTTTTCTACTTGAACTGCCCATGATGANATTATACAATTATGATATACAATTTCGTTGTCACACAAGCTTTCGCTCTTGCTTTAGCAATGTTAACTCTCTTGCTTTTCAGATTGTTCAAAAGTTACTTGATGCAGGAGCAAATATAAACGTTAAAGATGCGGAAGAGAATGTTCCAATACACATGGCTACAGAGTGCGTCCATCACTGAGTAAACAATTGATGTTTCTTCTGCTGTTGCCGTTGTTGTTGTTTTTGTTGTTTTCGTTGTTGTTGTTGTTATTTTTGCTGTTATTTGATGTTCATTTTGTTGTTATTTGACGTTCATAATCACTTCTTTTTCGGTGTACTCTTCTTGTATATTCAATACGTAATTTGGCATAAGTTTGTCTGATACAAGTCTGATACAATGTGGATGGACAGTGTTTTCTACTTGAACTGCCCATGATGACATCATGAAATGTGAAGTTAATATGTGGTTTAAAATAACGGAAGCGGTTCTGTTTTGTGCCAAAGCAGTCCAAAATAATAGAAAACGTACTAACTAGGATGCGACTACTGACAAGATGCTATGTTTTAGGAGTGGTAACTTGGCTTGTGTAAGAGCGCTGTTACGAGCAAACCCAAAGTCCCTCCACAACGTGGAATACAGATTGAGAACTTCTTTGCATTTCGCTGCGTATGAAGGTCATTTGCACCTGGTAAAGTTCTTATTGGATAATGGAGCCAACCCGGATCAAAGGTAAGCAATTCAGGCAACAAACACGAAGTAATTTTCGGTTTGATTACAGCTGTGTCTAGCTCTCGAATTCGAAGTTTCAGCTGGAGAAGTAAATGCATTCTAGGCAATAAACAGTGGCGTAATTACATTCTTAAATGCATCAAGGCACATAGTACCCTTACTTTACTTTGAACTAAGCAGTAAAATATGAGATAGTGTCGAAATCAAATTTCCCTTTGTAGAGAGTTTATCTTTTATTTTGCTGTTACCCGATATCTTACTTCCTTTACTTACTTTTACTCTTTTTTGTTAATTGTCAGATAGGTAACTGTTGTTAGGTGTCCCCAGTTAGTGTACATTGCATGCTAGCGACTTCGACACATTAATAAAGTTCTTCTTTTATCTTATCCCTTCTCAGTCGACGTAGTTTCGTAATTTAATTACAATCTTTCTCGGACAACATGTAGTGACCACAAAGAAAACTTATTCTGACTCAAGTGTAACGACCGCCACTTAAAGCATCCCAAAATTAATCCTGATTTCATTTTGTAGGGACGAGAATCATCTGACTCCTCTTCTATTGGCAGCTAGACTTGATCGCTGCCAGACAATTACGATGTTGCTGGATTGTGGAGCAAAGATTGGCGCAGTTTCCAAAAATAAGGTAAGGCAGACTTTCGTCGTTATTATTGTGACTTTTTCAAGACTTATACATGAGCAGGGAATTCCAGTCTAATTCCCTCACACATTAGCTCACATCCCTTACAATTGCATGCCATATGATGTACTGTCATCTGGTGATGGGGACATGTCTTGTCTTGAGAACGGCATTCGTGATAGAACGTTATATATAAATTTTTGGAAATACTAATATATTCCCAAACATTTTAAAGCAGTTCCACAGGCCAATTGACCACCACATATCATCTTTTAGTATAAATCTACTAGCGTTCTATCACGAATGCCGTTCTCTGATTGGCTACGCTACTAACTAGCTATTCTGTTGTAAATAGTGAGTAGCGAAGCAGTGTGCCCTTGTTAACAAAATAACGGCCGCTTCTTGGCNCTTCTAAAGGAAGTTATGAGGTATGAGAAGAAAAGTTATTTCTTTACAATTTTGTACTTGTGATACATTATACAATTATGATATACAATTTCGTTGTCACACAAGCTTTCGCTCTTGCTTTAGCAATGCTAACTCTCTTGCTTTTCAGATTGTTCAAAAGTTACTTGATGCAGGAGCAAATATAAATGTTAAAGATGCAGAAGAGAATTTTCCAATACACATGGCTACAGAGTGCGTCCATCACTGAGTAAACAATTGATGTTTCTTCTGTTGTTGCCGTTGTTGTTGTTTTTGTTGTCTTCGTTGTTGTTGTTATTTTTGCTGTTATTTGATGTTCATTTTGTTGTTATTTGACGTTCATGATCACTTCTTTTTCGGTGTACTCTTCTTATGTATTCAATACGTAATTTGGCATAAGTTTGTCTGATACAAGCCAAACTAAGCCAGTGTGGATGGACAGTGTTTTCTACTTGAACTGCCCATGATGATATCATGAAATGTGAAGTTTATATGTGGTTTAAAATAACGGAAGCGGTTCTGTTTTGTGCCAAAGCAGTCCAAAATAAAAGAAAACGTACTAGCTAGGATGCGACTACTGACAAGATGCTATGTTTTAGGAGTGGTAACTTGGCTTGTGTTAGAGCGCTGTTACGAGCAAACCCAAAGTCCTTCCACAACGTGGAATACAGATTGCGAACTCCTCTGCATTTCGCTGCGTACGAAGGTCATTTGCACCTGGTAAAGTTCTTATTAGATAATGGAGCCAACCCGGATCAAAGGTAAGCAATTCATGCAACAGACACGAAGTAATTTTCGGTTTGATTAAGCTGTATCTAGCGCTCGAACTTTCAGCTTGAGAAGTAAATACATTCTAGGCAATAAACAGTGGCGTAGTTACATTCTTAAATGTATCAAGGTACATATTACTCTAACTTTACTTTGGACTAAGCAGTAAAATATGAAATAGTGTCGAAATCAAATTTCCCTGTGTGTAGAGTTTATCTTTTATTTTGCTGTTACCCGATATCTTACTTCCTTTACTTACCTTTACCCTTTATTGTTAATTATTATATGGCCGTGTCTCACAAGGCCTGGGAACTACCGAATTCACGAATTTGATTGGCTGAAATCGATATTGACCGCGGTCTAGATTTTCCCATCTGGACCGGCATCTAGACCGGTTTCATTTTGCGTTGAAAAAGTAGCAAACTATAATACAAAAATGTTCACCATTTTTTTTTTTATTTTCTTCTCAAACAGTCATGGAAGTGCCAAAAAGCCTGATTACAAAAAAAAAAAGTAAAGAGGAAGAGCAAATTTCGGCAGGTTTAAGTTAAGCTCATGGCCGTTTGCAAGCAAAATGTCATCAAACCAGTTACATTAAAGGAATTTAAAAAGTTTTTTTCTTCGCCATATAATAAACATCTTATTAACCGAGCTAAGTCGGTCTATATGGGAGAATCTTGACCTCGGTCGTGTGTACAGACCTCACTGCGTTCGGTCTGTGCTCACGACCTCGGTCAAGATTCTCCCATACAGACCTCTAGCTCGGTTAATAAGAGCTAATTATTAATTAGATAGGTAACTGTAGTTAGGTGTCCCCAGTTAGTGCACATTGTATGCTAGCGACGTCGACACATTAATAAAGTTCTTATCTTATCTTATCCCTTCTCAGTCGACGTAGTTTTGTAATTTATTTACAATCTTTCTCGGACAACATGCAGTGAACCACAAAGAAAACTAACTCTAACTTAAGTGTAACGACCGCCACTTGAAGTATTCCAAAATTAATCCTGATTTCATTTTGTAGGGATGAGAATCATCTGACTCCTCTACTGTTGGCAGCTAGACTTGATCGCTGCCAGACAATTACGATGTTGCTGGATTATGGAGCAAAGATTGGCGCAGTTTCCAAAAATAAGGTAAAGCAGACTTTCGTCGTTATTATTGTGACTTTTTCAAGACTTATACATGAGCAGGGAATTCCAGTCTAATTCCCTCACACATTAGCTCACATCCCTTACAATTGCATGCCATATGATGTACTGTCATCTGGTGATGGGGACATGTCTTGTCTTGAGAACGGCATTCGTGATAGAACGTTATATATAAATTTTTGGAAATACTAATATATTCCCAAACATTTTAAAGCAGTTCCACAGGCCAATTGACCACCACATATCATCTTTTAGTATAAATCTACTAGCGTTCTATCACGAATGCCGTTCTCTGATTGGCTACGCTACTAACTAGCTATTCTGTTGTAAATAGTGAGTAGCGAAGCAGTGTGCCCTTGTTAACAAAATAACGGCCGCTTCTTGGCGTTTTCGAAGTGTCTGTGAAGAGGATTTAAACAAGGTTTTGAACGACTAGTAGATTTGTACGAAAACAATTAGATTATTCGCTCTCGATTTCTATGCGTGATAGTTGACGAGGGCGCAGCCCGAGTCAACTATCACCAGATAGAAATCGAGAGCGAATAATCTAATTGTTAAATAGCTTCAAAACACCCAATCGAAATGCATTTTGAAACTTAGCACATTAAGTTCAACTCACAAGCAAAGTTTCAGGGAAATTTGTTTTTTGGCTCAAAATGGTTATGACTATCCTACAGAGATCTCTTGACATTGTACCCTAAATATTTTAATTTTTGTAAATTTTTTTTCTCTAGACATCCGCTATAGATATAGCTGCGTACTTTGGTAACTCTAGCACAGTTCGTTTGCTGTTGGATCGTGGTGCAGATGTGAAAAATAAGTCTGTGTTTGGAAAAGGATGTTTGGACTCCGCCATTAAGGGATCCCGGGAACAAACCTGTATGGAAATAATCAAACACAAACGGTGAGGCAGCGCGCCCCTGGGAGAGGGGTGGATTCCTGTATACACTGTAACAGTTGGTGGATTCTTGTTCCCAGTGAACGATTATGATTCCTGGTTTGGTTACGTTTGGCGTTTAAAGATAAACACCGTTAGATTTTTACTAGTAGTTTAGGATTAGGGTAGAAATGATCAACACAAACGGATGACGTATGGCGTCGAGGGAAGTGAGCTCTTCGTACATCCAAGAAACCGTCTCTTGATACATCTTAACGCCGATTAAAATTCGTGGCTCATTATCGTTTATTGCATGTGTGTAGGTATTGGATAGTATCGGGAAAAAACTGTCACCTGGTACTACCTTTTGTTTTAGAATCGGTGTAAATTACGCTTAGCTCCTTTTTGAGGGTTTCTTTGAAAGTTTCCGATCATCACCCCCAGCTCTTTCATATGAATATCCCCCTTCCCCTCCCCCTGGGATCATGGCTGGGTATTTATTTTTTTTTATTGCTAAGTTTTAAGGCTGTGGAAGTCTCTTTACTCATCATTTACACCAACAAACCGATCATTTACTATATCATTTCTTGCTTGTTTGTTTCAATTAATTAGCTGGAAAGAATCTGTTGAAGTCAAGGACGATGAGGGATTTTGCATGATGAAGCAACTTATTGAAAAGTTTCCTGATGTGGCCAAGGTACATGAAAGCCATAAAATTATCTCAATCCAACTGAAGAGTTGCGAATGATTTTTAAGGACAATTGGTGTTTTTGACATATTTTGATGTGAGTTCATTATGCAAATGAATATTTGTAATATCATGTATTTGGGAGCCAGTGAAAGTAACGGCGGGGGGGTACATTTGCCCTTTTTCATTATGAGGGGTGGGGCCCTTAGGAGGAGATCCCCTTGAACTGGTTACCTCCCCCCTCGACCGGTGATATTTCAGGCTGCTATGATACTCATGATCTCAATTGTACTTTAGGTAGTAATGGACAAATGTGTCGAGACTTCTGATCACCTGAAGACAGATGCAGATTTCTCAGTAAGTTGCCTCTACAGTGTTTGTTTCTCTTTTTCCTCTCTTTATTGAGACTTTGAACATTTCTGACTCAAATAACCCTAAGATTCTTGTGAGGTAATAAGTAAAAACTGTAGTGACAGTTTGGCATCCGATTTTTTTTTTGGCAGCCGATGATATTATCATGCACATGATCTTGTAGTAATTTTGACTGGCTGTGGTAAAACATTTAACAATAATAACGTAAACCTGAGTTTTCTTTGAGCAAACAGTCAAAGAGACGTAACTGAGGGACAGCGGTCTGATTGTTTTACAAGACACTCTAAGGGGATGCAGTTCCAAGCCTACAGCTGTATGCAGTATCAAGAGAAGCACGAGCTCGATAGTGTTCTATCACGAATATATATAAAATGATGAGAGAGCCAATCAGATTCGTTCAATATAACGACATAACACGCGCATGTAGCTGTATGTCTGTTCTTGAGGATGGTCATCTACAAGATACCTTAATTTTCTGTTTTTAGACATCTTTCAACTTTGTGTTTCTCGATCCCATACCGGGAGAGCAAATTAATGACGAGGGGATACGCTACTTTGGCCCCAAGGTAATGCATCAATATCACGGGTGCCCACCCAGGTGAACTTATCAATACGCCACTTTCGAAATATTAAAATTCAGCTTGATAGTGAGGCCTAGAGGACACAAAGAAAAGAAATGGATAAACATGGTCATTTAATTTCCTTTGTTTGTGTCCTCTAAGCCTGCCAAGCTGAATTTTGATATGTCGAAAGAGGTCTATTGTTTTGGGTTTTTATATATTATCAAGAGAAGATGAGGGGTTGNTAGCTGTATGTCTGTTCTTGAGGATGGTCATCTACAAGATACCTTAATTTTCTGTTTTTAGACATCTTTCAACTTTGTGTTTCTCGATCCCATACCGGGAGAGCAAATTAATGACGAGGGAATACGCTACTTTGGCCCCAAGGTAATGCATCAATATCACGGGTGCCCACCCAGGTGAACCTATCAATACGCCACTTTCGAAATATTAAAATTCAGCTTGATAGTGAAGCCTAGAGGACACAAACAAAAGAAATGGATAAACTTGGCCATTCAATTTCCTTTGTTTGTGTCCTCTAAGCCTGCCAAGCTAAATTTTGATACATCGAAAGAGGTCTATTGTTTTGGGTTTTTATATATTATCAAGAGAAGATGAGGGGTTGGGAAGGGGGGGTAAACCCCAAATAGACCTTATGGCATTACACGCATTTTTATCCTCCAGTAAAACATGTACGCAACGCTCGTGATAACTTTGTCCGCGGGAGGACTGGGTACCAGATCTAAAAATAGTTTGAGAGGAATTACCTTAAGAATTAGGGATATATAGGGACTAACTCCTTCACGTTCATCCTCTCTTGACATCTTATAAAAGTCTAAACTAATTGTCAATTGTGTAGACCTGGGTGGGAACCTGTAGCGCAACTTCTCCGACATAATTATGTCTGTAACAAAGGTGTGTCTGTTCGTTAGTTTGTTTGTTTGTTTTTCTCTAAAACAACAGTGGGGAGCAATTATTTGTATAAATAGCTTTAACTCGTTGTTGGTCCTGCCCCTTACTCCCCCTCTTNACTTACAATTTACCAATCGCTCATTACAGTTTATGTAGTACGTTTGATAGTGTACAACTGCGTGAGTAGAGACCCACCCTATAACTTCACAGACAAGAGCTATGCCAGCCTAAAAAGTGCGTGTGTTTGTTTGTTTGTCTATATATTTTTTCAAAGCAAACCATCGAGAAGAAGGAAACGCACATCATAAGAACGTTTCCCCCTGAGGGTGTGGCATATTGTTTTCATTCCTGCGCTCAAATCATTTTAAATCTGGTTTAAAGTTTCTTTCACCTAAATGAACTTGTGGCTCACTTATTTCTCATTACAGCTAATGTTAAAACACGGTCACAGAGAACTAATTCTTCATCCCCTGACCCAGGAACTCATGAGAGTGAAAAGGTACTTTGATAGACATGAAGTTATATACCACGTATTTCTGAGGTTAATCGCCCCGGGGCAGACCTGCATATGAAAATGTTGGGAATGCTTGTCGTCTCGCTTAGGGATGTACATCAAGGATTTTGGTCCCATTTATGGTGTTGAGGACGTAACGCCATTATTTTTAGCTGTCAAAGTAACTTTTAGGGTGCACTCGAAGCGGTATCTATCTTTGTTAAGCGGTATCTTTTAAGGGGATTTTAATCAAAATGTTCCGACGACTGCTCCCGAATTTTTCACATGATAGTGACCCCGGGGGGTGGGGGTGGACAGGAGTGGTAGGAGCTGCTAATCGATTTCTTGAATTACGTGGGATGAGACACGAGAATGTGCAAGTGCGTGTTCTCAAGTGTTCACCGGTACAACCATTGAAATGTGAAGTATGGTGATGGAAACTATAACTCATACAGAACTTTTTCAAGCAACTTGAAAATATTAAATTTCTCGGGGCTTTGACCACTGTGTGCGACAGTCCCAAACTCTATTTCATGATACTGTACACTTAGATAAAGATATCATTTGGTAGTTATTTTAATTATGATCTAAATTTCAATTCCATCCTGCTTTAATAGATTTTTTAACTGTTTCTAATTTTTACTTGGCGTACTTTCTAACTTTAATGCTTGCAAATTGTTGTGTCAAAGACTGCCAATGACTGACTGACTGACTGACTGACTGCTGTCTGGCTGACTGACTGACTGCTGTCTGGCTGACTGACTGACTGCTGGCTGGCTTACTGGTTGATTGACAGACTAACTGACTAACTGAGTGGCTGACTGACTGACCGTCCGACCGACCGACCGACCGACCGACCGACCGACTGGCTGGCTGACTGGCTGGCTGACTGACTGGATGGCTGGCTGGGTGACTGGCTGACTGGCTGACTGATTAAGCGACAGACAGACTGACTGATTGACTGACTGAGTGACTGACTAACTGACTAACTAACTGACTGACTGGCTGACCGGCGCACTGAATGATTGACTGACTGACTGACTGACAAACCGACCAACCGGTGCGGTGAGTCAGTCACTATGTTGGCAGGTGGTTGGTACCTGCAAGTCCTATACTCTTAAATATTAAAACCCCATTATATCGAAACGAGCTTTTTCAAAGCAATACGAACTTTAAGATCAAGCTACGGTTTATCCTTTGGTTAATAGCCCAAATATAGGCATGGACAACTCCACAAAATAGCAATGAGAAATCAGAGATGCGGGTTATGGGGTAAATGAGCTGCTAACGTTAACGGTTGGATTTTGTTCTTCGTTTGCAGGAGTTCCTTAAATTTAAAATACTTCTACCTGGCGTTCTTCATATACTCGTTATTTACTGTAAACTTGACTTTCCTTGTGCTGTGCCTTAATTCATGGTCCATAGACTCACAGCGGAACTCGACCTCTGAGTTTACTCGGGTGAGTCACTTTAATTGCAGCAACCAGTTTTTCAACGGCATAAATCTGGTTGTCCGTTACATGTACATATAGTAAAAGTAATGGTATATCTTTATTGTGTCGAACCGGCTCCAAAAGGAGGTATTGGTTTGGTTACAAAAAAAGTTTGAACATTAACTAGTAAAGAATACAAAGTACCATTTACCATATCCATATACAATTAGTTGGAAAATTCATTGCGCTAATTACATTGATGAATTAATAATCCCTTTTCATTTTTGAAACATTGAATGGATGTATTTTCTTTAGATGTATCTTTATTGTCTGCTCTAAATAAATACTTGGTCCTGTCGTTATCACTTAAACTGGTGTAACGTGCATCTGCGTTTAAAATATGTGAATGCAGCTTACGTCTTATAGTGGTATACCCCTGACAATACATGAAGAAATGTTGTTCATGTTCTATGCAATTTTATTCGCATACCAAACATGTCCGCCCTTCTACTGGGATTAACGTTCCTCTATTTTCATATTTTTCAGTTTGTATTCGTAATGCATGACATCCTAATCTAAGCCTTATCAGGCTAATTCTGTTCCCTGGCTTTGTAATTATGTAATTAATGTCAAGTAGTTTTCAGATTGATGATTATTCTAAACATCTTTTTGTGTAAAATATTCCCTTGAACTTGTTTATGACCTATTCTAGGTTTCAAGCCAGTTTTGTAAATATTGATTCCTGGGGGTTTTCTTTATAACTAATCGTGCATTCTTGTTGTGTTGCTGGGTTGCTGGTTCTTTCACTTTAAACCTTTTATTGATTTCTTCACTATGTTGTATGTCGAAGAAAGGTGTATATTTTGTTGCATATTGAAATGCTACACATAACAAAACATTGTTAGGAGAATGCTTCAATCTTTGCCTGTAGCTGAAGATCGATGCTTTTGTGACTGAGTGACTGCCGTGTCTGCCGTGTCCGACTGACTGACTGACTGACTGACTGACCGACTGACCTGAATGACCGAGCGATCGACTTTCTGACTGGCTGGCTGACAAACCAAACGACCTAGTAGGTAAGATCTTGTTAAATTTCTGAAGTTTTTTGTTCTTTTTTGCAGGATTTCTGTCCCGCATATGGTCTCCATGCCACCAGAGGAACGACAGCAATTATCTCAGGGATCTCTTTGCTGAGTCACATTTATAGAATATACTGTGAGGTAAATATACGTTCCTGGCTATCCATAGAGATAGAACCTTAATTAATCTCATAGTGGTTATGGTAAATGATGATCTCTTAACATTGAGTTTAATATCAATTTCTTTTCAGAAATGGAGTTATTGGATGGATGTATCAAATTTGCTGGAGTTATGTGCCCTTATTTGTGCCATTATCACGATTGTTAGCAGGGAAATTTATCACAATGAACGTTTTGAATTTTCTTTTGGAATAATGGCGGTTCTGCTAGCTTATCTCACACTCATGTCTTATTTGCAAAGGTGAGGCACCAAGACGACTCGTCCAAACTATAACTGTAAAATTCTTCAGTTGTTCTTTACGTACGCGTGTTTGAAAACTTTTCTCTCAGTTCGTTGAATGGATTTTTTTGATTTAAAATTACACCTCGGCAGCGCTCATTAACCTCTTCCTTTTTTGTTTGTCCACTACATAAGCACAAAGTTGTTTAGCGATAAAAAAGCTAAGTAAAGGTTTTTTTTTCAGTGGCCTCGATTTTAATAGCAGCTCCTCAACAGCCCATTTTTCAGTTATTAGGTTAATGTTTGTTTTGAACCCACAGTAGCATACACAATACTTTCAAATTCCTTTTCGTATTCTTACACATTATAATTTTATTTCTTTGCAGTGTGTTTAAGGCTGGTATCTATGTAACAATGATGTTTGAAGTGCTAAGAACTCTTCTAGTGGTAAAGATTATAAATTAATAACCTGATAGGTGTAAACCTGCGCAGAATGTTTACTGGATTTGGACATGATAGATAAAAGCATATCTGTCACCTATTGCATGTTCGCTATAACTAGGTTTCGTTGTATCGAGGTTCTTTTCCTTATATCAAGTTTACTATTAGTGGGGCCATCAAAATCGTTCGTTATACCTAGGACTTCGTTTTATAGAGGCTCGTTAAATCGAGATTTCATTGTAGTTATAAACTGGCGCAGAATGTTTGCGATATTTGCACTAGCATTAGGGAATGGAATGATGGGCTTTTTTAGATGACTATATTGTTCTTGTTAGTGGACACGATTCAATATTTGGTACATGCAAGCAAACAATTAATTTTAAAAAAGCGTTAAAACAAGAAAACAGGTATTAGCATGTCAGTACTGTATTCACCTAGGAATGTCTTTGTTCAGATTTGTGCTGTAATACGCTGAGTGTCCCTGCCCAAGCTGATGCAAATACTCCGGGGGGGTTTGGTTGAAAATTCGAAAGTTCCACAGTGAACGCGTACAAAGAGTGTTGCCAAATGCCGTAGAGAAAGTTGTCTTTAGGTACCATGTGGCGATGAATATTATTATTTAACAGTAAGCATATTTCATTCAGGTTTTCGCAGTCTTTTCTCTTCTTTTGTTTGCGTTTGCTTTGGTCTTCCATGCGCTGCTGTCAAGACAAGCAAACGTAAGTACTTTGTGGTTTTTTATGCTTTTAAGGTCAAATCTCACAGACCTGACAAAAGAAATATCTCAACTTTGTCACTGACTTTCCTCGGTCGTAATCCTCAGTTACTTTATCATTATTTTTTTTTTGGTTGAACTCTACCATTGCTTTAAGTTTTTTGTTTGTTGAGAACAGCTTCAAGTATTAATACACACTTTATCTGTTTCAAGTATCTGATAAGCAGTTTTTGGTGCACCCAATCTTGATCGTGCACTTGCTGCATGGGAGCAGATGTACAAAGGCAGACGTCCTATCTGCCTGGATGGGCCTCCAAGTGTAATATTTCTCAACAAAGGATAGTAAAATTGCATTTCCTTTAGAGTATAACGTATTACAGTGTCGTTACTCTTTTCAATTGCAGGCGTCAAGGGCCGGTATCAAGCTTGAACAGGACGGTGAGGTAGGACGAAAGGGAATTAGTTACATGCAAAATCTTTTCGCATCAAGAAAAGCGGGTCCATTTTGCTTACAAAAGGCTTTGTTTTACAGCCCAAAATCAACCTAATATGGCCATTTTTGAGTTTCCATTCTTTTTCGTCGGTAGTATGTGTCCATACTTACGCATTCCGACTTGGATGCGGCCCCACGAAGTCAGACAAATTTTGTCGCATTAGAGGTGATTTTTTGCATCGAGGATTAAATTATTGGCTTCCGTGGCTCGACTGGACCTTTCAAAATATCAGACGTGCCCCTCTCTACTCCCCAGAGGCTCCATGTTTTTTTTTAGGTGGGGAGGATCCGCTGAGTGATGTAAGTGCAGGCACAGGTACGAACGTTCGAACCTCTGCGGTGGAGAGAGAACGCGCTCTCCGTAGGTCGCTATAGGCCAAAGACAAATGTCGAACTTCTTGTGAGTAGAACTGTGTAAATGAGCAAAAACAATGCATTGACGTATCATTGCACAATTGCACCGATCGTACTTTTTTGATGCTCTTCGGTAGCATATCAGGTTCGTTTGTTCTCGTCATGGGTATTGTGTCTCGACTCTGATTCTGGTAATTTTATGTTCTTCTTCTCAGGACCCCTTTGGCACGCTAGATCTGTCGATATTGAAAGTGTTGGATATGATGATCGGCGAGCTGGAATACAGCACATTTTTTGTTGACAAGACGCTATATCTCCCTGATCTGACGAGATTTATTTTTGCCGTATTTTGTGCTTTGATACCGATAGTCTTCATGAATTTATTGGTTAGTAAGACTCTTTATCATTTTTATGCGTTGCAATTCATTATAATGAAATTAAAATGTAGTTAATACATTAGCCCCATATATCTCGAACTTGACGATTCCCTCCATTCTTTCCTCAATACTGCGATTGATACATGGGAACAAGCCTCGTAACGATTTGGGCCGGACGTACTTGTTGTTTAGCACAAAATTCTTGTTCTGGCATTAGATGTCGTGTGTGGTCCAACAGATCTTTCATGTTTATAAAAGAAGACATCCCGAGATCGATTACTATGAGTATCAATCACTTCCAGTGGAAAATGGAAAGAAGATTGGAGACAAATTAAAGTTTCTTCTTTGAGCCCTCTCGATTGAAATTTTGCGTATAATTTGATATAATTTTAGGCCTAGGATAACAGTGAGATTCTTTCCTTGAAAAAATAGTTTTCTTTTTAAACAGATTGGCTTGGCTGTGGGTGATATTGAATCGATTCAGAAAAATGCAGAATTGAAGCTGTTAGCGATAGAGGTATGAAAAGAAATTACTTTGTAACTGGAATTAAGTGTAGTAGCTGATCCTCTAGTCCAAAGCGAGCCCGTTCATTCCCAACCTTGTTCACATGGTCTTGCTGCATTTATTTGCGGGATATGCTCCTTGGTTTGGGTACCAAGTAAGTAAAACATCTTAGTCAGTTTTCAAATCGTTTGCTGACCCAAGAAAAATCATTAGCTTTTCTGATTTACCAACACTTGACATGATCTGTACTCAGTTCTGCACACAGGTACAAAATCTCTTTTACTAGGAATATTGATTTATAAATAGTCCACGGGAAAATAATTTATATTTATTTTCTAGGGTCGATCCTGAGAAAGAACTTTTTTTTTTAACTGAGTAACCCTGAAGTCTCCGAATAAAATACATCTCTATTTGTATTATTTTATTTATTATTTTGTTCTTTATCTTTATTTTAGATCGAGGATGTGTACTCCTTTGAACGACGCCTACCAAACTGTTTACTTCGCCGTATACACAAGTCACGCGTCACAAAGTATCCCAATAGACGGGGCTGGCGGCAGAAAGGAGTTATGGTAACGAAGTTACACCCCATCTTAACTTTCTTTCTGGAATTCAACCTAATGATGAAGATGTCGATACGATCAGACCCCCCAAACATTTAGGGAGTAACTTAGGGAAGATAAAAAGCCAGTGAAAAAATATGGAGACAGAGAGGAAAGGACAGCATGGTACCTTCGTCCACCATTTTGAGCCTACTGCGCTATACATGCCTTTGAAGTGATCGATATGGTCGATTTTTTACCCATTTTGTGTAAAAGTTGCCAGAATCATTAACAATTAGAATTAACAAATTAGTGGAAAAAGTCTTTTCATCGTCTTTTCTTTTCCTTTTCTTAAGAATATTCGCAGATTAATAGCAGGAATGAAGGATAACTTGGCCTTTGAGCAGACAGATTGTGAAAGTTTTGAGCAAGCGGCTGCATCTGTCTGCCACAGAATGGATGCCTTGGAGCAAAAGTGAGATTCCTGCTATGATTTAGTGCATGTTTTTACCTCAATGGCATTAGAGAATTACTTAGTATGTAGTTTACATAAC